TCTGCGGGCCTGCCTGCCTGTCTGCCTGTCCGTCCGCCCGGGCCGCGGCTCAGCCCGGCCTCCCCGCTCCGGGTAACGCCGGCCCAGCCCAGCTGGTCGGAGAACGCTGGAGGCCCCGGGCTCCTGGGGAGGCTGAGATCTGAGGATCGGGGTTCGAGGCCAGCCGGGGCAGGAGAGGCCCCGAGACTCTGATCTCCCGGGAAACGCGGGCGCGGAGGCCGGCCTCGGGTGGACCCCTCCCCGCTGCCCCCGCAGGACCTCAGTGGCCGCGGTCAGTACCATGGCGCCTTCGCCAAGGCCCAGGCGATGTTTCGAGAACCGGAGCCTGAGAGGAGGCACGGAGGCTACCTGAAGGCTGGCCCACCTCACAGCCCCAAGCTCAAGGTGGGGACCCCCCCTCCCGCCCCTGTGCTTCCCAGAGAACTCAGACGCAGCCCAGCCCCTGCGGCCACGCAGGAGGCTGAGATCGGAGGATCGCGGTTCAAAGCCAGCCTGGGCAGGAGAGGCCGTGAGACTCTGATCTCCAGTGAACCACCAGAAAACTGGACGTGGCGCTGTGGCTCAAGTGGTAGAGCGCCTGCCCTGAGCAGGAGAGCTGAGGGACAGCGCCCAGGCCCCGAGTTCAAGCCCCATGATTGACCTAAAAGAAAAATTGCCTGAGACTATGCAAAGCCTTAGCTGTGTGTGTGTGTGTGTGTGTGTGTGTTCTGTCAGTGCTGGGTTGAACTCAGGGCCTGGGCGCTGTCCCTCATCTTTTCCACTCAAGGCTTGGCGCTCTACCCCTTGAGCCACAGCGCCACCTCTGGCTTTTTAATGGTTCATGGGAGATTAGAGTCTCACAGATTTTCCTGCCCAGGCTGGCTTTGAACCGTGATCCTCAGATCTCAGCCTCCTGAGTGGCTGGGGTGGCAGGCGGGAGCCACCCATGCCCGCCTTATATCCCTGCTCTTACGGTTGCTCACCACCTGCCAGCCCAGACCAGTGCATGCACGCATGCACGCGCACACACACACACACACACACACACACACACACACACACACACACAGCCTATGCAAGCCCGCTCATGCGGTCTCCTCGCTCGGGAAGGAAATCATGAAGGCCCAGGAGCTGGAAGCGAAGCTGCACATCTTCAGCATGTTCGGGATGCCCCGCCTGCCCCCCGAGGACCGGCGGCTCTGGGAGATCGGAGAGGGTGGGGACAGCGGCCTGGCCATCGAGAAGTCCTGGAGGGAGCTGGTGCCCGGACACGAGGTGAGCCGGGCCAGGCGTGTGTCCCTGTGGTGTGACAGCGCGTGCGCACACACACACACACACACACACGCACATGTATGCACGCGCGCATGCACACGCTCCCCCTGCTCCTGCCCCAAGGACGGGCGTGCAAAGCACTCTGGGAAAACTTTGATCTGGTTGGGGGCCTCTGATCTGTCACTGACCCGGGAGACTTGGATCACACAGAGGAAGCTCGCCCGGCTCCAAGGGCCTTGTGGGTAAAAGGTCACTGCCTTGAGCCTGTTCTAAGCCGGGCTCAGGGGGCTGGGCAGGTGGCTCAGTGGTAGAGCGCTTGCCTTGCATGCCTGAGGCCCTGGGTTCGATTCCTCGGCACCACATAAGCAAAAAGCTGGAAGTGGCGCTGTGGCTCAAGTGGTAGAGCACTGGCCTTGAGCTGAAGAGCTGAGGGACAGCGCCCAGGCCCAGAGTTCAGGCCCCACGACCAGACCTGAAAAAAAAAAAAAAAAAGTAAGCCGGGCTCAGTGGCTCCTGCCTGTCATCCCAGCTACTCAGGAGGCTGAGAGCTGAGGATCACGGTTCAAGGCCAGCCCCAGCAGGAAAGGCTGTGAGACTCTGATCTCTAATGAACGACTTAAAAGTGGCGCCAGCACTTGAGAAAGCAAAGGGACAGGACCTGAGTTCAAGCCCCAGTTGGATCATAGGAAGGGAGGGAGGGAGGGAAGGGAAGGAAGCAGTGTCTGTCTTAAGCTGGGCACGGTGGCTCACGCCTGTAATCCCAGCTCCTCAGGAGGCTGAGATCTGAGGATTGAGGATCCCCCAAACCCTTGAGATGTCTACCTCCGATGAACCGGCAAAAGGCCAGAAGGAATGGTACAGCCCCAGCCTTGAGCACAGACAAAATGCCAGCCAGTTCAGAGTTGGAGGCCCCGAGTTCGAGCCCCAGCCCTGGCCCCCCGCTGAGCGCGCCTGTCCCCTCAGGAGATGAGCCAGGAGCGCCGCCATCAGCAGGAGGCGCTGTGGGAGCTGCTGACCACCGAGGTGATCTACGTGAGGAGGCTCAAGATCATGACCGACGTGAGCCCCGGCCCCGCCCCGGCCCCTGATGCCTTAGTCTCTCAGACCAGAGAGGGCAGGGTGGCTAGGGGAGGGAGGCCCAGCATTCCAAGCCATCCTCAAGATGGGAGTGGGGGGGATGAGGAGGGGGGGATGGAGGGTAAACCCCACAGGGCTAGTCTGGGGGTTCAAGATGATGCGAGGGGATGCTCAACCCCTTTCTCCCTCCCTCCCTGCCTCTAGCTCCTGGCTGCCGGTTTGTTGAATTTGCAGCGAGTGGGATTGTTGATGGAGGTGAGTGGAGATTTAGAAAAAGGGGGGGGCCTCCCTCAGGAAGCCCCCTTCCCTCCCTACACCCCCATTTCTCCAAACACGCCCCTCCACAACCCCCCTAACTTCCGGGGGCTCACTGAGGTTGCCAGAGAGAGTCTCTCCCCCTCAACACCAGTCACATTCTGCAGGGGGCTCCTGCATCCTCCTGGGAGCCCCCCGAGTTTAGGGTCCCTCCCCCCCCCCAGCCTGACCCTGCAACTCTACTGGGACTTCTTTCTACCAGGTGTCAGCGGAGACCCTGTTTGGCAACGTCCCCAGTCTGATTCGAGCCCACCGGAGCTTTTGGGAAGAGGTTCTAGAACCTTCTCTGGAGGAGACTCGCACTTCCGGCCAGCCCCTGGACCCCTTGAGCCTGCAAAATGGCTTCCTGATGGTAAGCCGGGGAGCCAGCCTTGTTGTTGTTTGGAGAACAATCCAGCCTCCAGCTCACGAACCTCCCTCCTGAGCCTCCTGACGGCTGGGGGGGGGGGTGACAGGTGCACCACCAATCCTGGCAAGTATAGAAAAGGTCTCGATTTTTAGCCGGGCCCCAGTGGCTCCCGCCTGGCATCCCAGCTGCTCAGGAGGCTGAGAGCTGAGGATCGCAGTTCAAGGCCAGCCTGGGCAGGAGAGTCCATGAGACTCTGATCTCCAATGAACCACTAGAAAACCAGAAATGGCGCTGTGGCTCAAGTGGTAGAGCGCCCACCTTGAGCTGAAGAGCTCAGGGACAGCGCCCAGGCCCTGAGTTCAAGGCCCAGGACCAGCACACATACAAAAAAAACCATCATCATCATCATCATCATCATCATCAAGCAAAAGCAACTGGGCTTGGAGTTAGTTCCGCTTCCTCCCACAATGCCACCCAGTTAGAGAAAATGGAGGTGGAACAAGAAAACGTGGCTGTGGGGGGCAGGAGATGGAGCAGCCTGGCCTCAGGGGGCCTCCACATGGGGACAGACACCCCCAGGCAGGCCTGTGGACAGCGCCCCCCCAAACCAGCCACCCAGCCACCCCAAACCCTGCCCCTAGTGGCTTGCCCATCCCCAAACAAGCCGGTCCGAAAGTTCATCCTTTTCATTGTTGTGCCAATACTGGGGCTCGAACTCCTGGGATCCCCAGGTTTCTGTTCCCATCGGAGCAGGGTTTGGGGGGCACCCCAAGAAACCTGTGCCCCGAGAACTGAGTGACTAATCCTGGAGAGCTAAGCCCGGCTCGGAGCTAAGTTCACACACTGCACGGATCAGAGGAGAGCAGAGGGTCTTTTTGGGGGGGGAATCTGGGCTCCTCCTGGGAGGCGGGAGACTGGCACCCCTGGGGGGCGCCCTGAGGTCTCCCCCTTCTGCCTCGGTCTCCCCTTTCCAGTTCAGCCAGCGATTCCACCCCTACATCCGCTACTGCCTGCAGGTGAAACACGCCATGGCTTACGCCCGCGCCCAGCAAGACACCAACCTGCTCTTCCACACCTTCGTGAAGGTGGGGGAAACTGAGGCAGGGGCGGAGGCGCGGGGCGAGGGGACGCGGGGGGAGAGGAGGCAGCGGGCGGAGGCTGAGGCCCTGGCCGCCGCTTTCTGCCCACAGTGGTGTGAGAAGCACAAACGCTCCGGGAGGCAGATGCTGGAGGACCTGCTCATCAAACCCCACCAGCGCATCACCAAGTACCCGCTGCTGCTCCACGCCGTGCTCAAGAGGAGCCCCGAGCCCCGCGTGCGCGACGCCTTGACCGCCATGGTAACTCAGAGAGCTGGGGTTCCGAGACTCTAGAGTGATGGGTGGGTGGTGAATAGGTGGATGGATGGATGGATGATGACGGGTGGATGGATGGATGGATGGAAGGGTAGATGAGTGGATGGATAGATGGGTGGATGAGTGGATGGATAGGTGGATAGGTAGATGGATGGATGGGTGGATGGGTGGGTGAATAGATGGATGGGTGGATGAGTGGATGGATGGATGGGTGGATGAGTGGGTGGAAGGATGGATGGATAGGTGGGTGGATGGGTGGGTGGATGAGTGGGTAGATGGGTGAATGGCTGGCTGGCTGGATGGGTGGGTAGATGGATGGATGGATGGGTGGATGGATGAGGGGTGGGTGGATGGATGGATGAATGGATGGATGGCTGAAAGGGTAGATGAGTGGATGGATGGTTGAAAGGGTAGATAAGTGGATGGATGGATGGATGGGTGAATGGATGGATGGATGGATGGGTGGATGGATGATGGTTGGATGGGTGAATGGATGGAAGGGTAGATGAGAGGATGGATGGGTGAATGGATGGATGGATGGATGGGTGGATGGATGGATGGATGGATAGATGGATGGGTGGGTGGATGGATGGATGGATGGATGGACGGATGGGTGGGTGGATGGATGGGTGGGTGGATGGATGGATGATGGATGGGTGGGTGGGTGGATGGATGGATGGGTGAATGGATGGATGGATGGATGGGTGGATGGATGATGGTTGGATGGGTGAATGGATGGAAGGGTAGATGAGAGGATGGATGGGTGAATGGATGGATGGATGGATGGGTGGATGGATGGATGGATGGATGGATGGATGGATGGGTGGGTGGATGGATGATGGATGGATGATGGATGGGTGGATGGATGGATGGGTGGATGGATGGATGATGGATGGGTGGGTGGATGGGTGGGTAGGCTGGGTTGCCCGGTGGTGCGGCATCCCTAACGAGAGCCGGAGCTGCAGCTGCTCCCGTCGCCCCTGCCCCAGATCGGCGTGGTGGAGTCCTTCCTGCGCCACATCAACAGGCAGGTGCGGCAAAGGGAGGAGCAGGAGGGCCTGGTGGCCGCCGCGCAGCGCATCGGCCGCTACGAGGTGCTGGAGCCGGCCAGCGAGGAGGTGGAGAAGGTGAGGGGGGGGGAATGCCGGGCTGCGGGGGGGGCTGACAGGCGGGACGGCGGGGACTCTCGGCCCAACACCCCCTTTCTCCTCTGTGCCCCTCAGAACCTGCGTCCCTTCTCCACCCTGGACCTGATGTCCCCGATGCTGGGCGTCGGCCCCCAACACATCAGAGAGCTGCTGCTGGAGGGGCCCGTGCGGATCAAGGAGGGGCGGGAAGGGAAGGTACGGGCAGGGGTGAGGAGGAGGGGTGAAGTGAAGAAAGGAAGGTCAGGAGGGGTGGGGGGAGGGGGAGGGGGAGGGGGGAGGCTGGTGGTGAGCTGAGCACCGTAGCGCACGCCTGTAATTCCAGCCAAGCCTGAGAGTGTGGCAGGACAGTTGGTGGTGAGACTCCCTGTGGATGGAGACATGAAGGGGGGGGGGCTCTAGTGGTGGAGCCCTTGCCTTGCATGCTTGAGGCCCTGGGTTCGATTCCTCAGCACCACATAAGCAGAAAAAGCCAGAAGTGGTGCTGTGACTCAAGTGGTAGAGCACTGGCCTTGAGCTGAAGAGCTGAGGGACAGCGCCCAGGCCCAGAGTTCAGGCCCCACGACCAGACCTAAAAAAAAAAAAAAAAAGTAAGCCGGGCTCAGTGGCTCCTGCCTGTCATCCCAGCTACTCAGGAGGCTGAGAGCTGAGGATCACGGTTCAAGGCC